AAAATCACTATTTAGAAATAAGTATGTAAATTCAATTAATCTCAAACATCCCAGTATATGTATAATTATTGCAAGTAAGCCTAAAATTCAAATTCCTGTACATTGTCTAATATTAATCTGCAATAAATATTAACAACATTTGATTATTTCTATTTCTAATTTTTACTGGGAAAATCAAAAAATATTTAAGAACAAAACATTGACCATTACCTGCCGATAAACTTGCTATAGTTATACACCTTTATAAACATTAAGCTGCACTTTGTCTTTAACACAAACAATATTTTATATCAACATGGGGAGAAAAAAAACATAAACCATAAACATAAGCACTAGAATTTTGTACCTTAGTCAAAGGTTCAAAAGTAGAATTCTGTAGAAATGCTTTGACATTGGGCTTTTTGGCTCATATCTTACTATTGGCTCATGAAATACTCTGGATTAGTAGCCACATCTCTGTATCAGGTACATGAGCCATACAGAAACAATTATAGATGAAGGGACAGTTGTGGTTTCTTTTCAACATGTCTCTACCCTTCCATAAGATATCAGAGTTGGTTGGGGTTGCCACCAGGAAATGACGAGACCCCAAGTCCCACCCTGTGGTCCCCCCTCCACTCAAGTGACTGGTGTCCAGGGACGAGCTCCATAGTAGCAGGGGCACATGCAGGCCTCATGCACCTGAGGTGGTGTCCCCCACATTGAGCCATAGGTTTTGGTCTGGATCCCACACACCTCATGTGGAGCCTTCCCTGGCAGCAAATTGCTGGGGAAGTTTAAGAGAAAAACATGCATCCACCTCCTAAATTTTGAGTTCTGTGTCATTGTTTTTCTACCACCCATCCACCAAAAAAAAGCTGTGGTCCATGAGAAAGCTCTTCTCTTTGTGCTTTAAATGCTTACAGGTCACGTAGGCTGCGCAAAGGAGAAGAGGGTGGTATGGGGTGAGAGAGGGACAGCAGCCAGCAACTCCCCTTTCCTGAGATTGGGGACCTAAAACTAAACTTTGGAAAGCTCACTCAGGAAAATAAAACTCTGAGACTGAACTCCATGATGGAGATGTGTAAATGTCTGTAGCCACTTCTAAGTATAATTTAAGGAAAGACAGATGCACTCGGAGTAGTAGAATATTCTGAGCCGTGTGCGCAGCAGTACAGTAATGTGAGTCCAAAATAAGAAGTCAGATGTGCTGTGTACAGAAAGGACCAAGTTGGTATTTTAATCCATAATGGAAGAATTACTTCTAGACTTAATGTAAATGTTATAGTGTTTTCGTTATATTTATATATTCTAATGATACTAAACTTCATTGGGAAAAAATGGCAAATTCATATGTCTAGATACTAATAATGTTTCTGAAGATAAATAATTTCCTGTATGTGTTAGGTTTGTGAGAGACCTGGCCCTGGTGACCTGTATCAGGGCAAAGAAAAGAAATGTTTACTAAGCTTGGATCCCTGCTGGGCAATGCATGGAAAATTCAAACATATTTATCCTCAGTGCCAGGAAACTATGCTTCTCTGTAGAACTGATACAATCATTGTATCAGATAATTGAAGTTCTATTATTTATTTTTCTCATTTTAGCCTTAGCTACCAGGAAAATCAGAAGTAAGTGTAATACTATATTAAGAAGCCTGATACATTCTGGGTTTCTGGAATAACTGTTTTCATTTCTTTATATTGTTTTTAATTTATTTTTATTTAAATTTAACTGTGCAGTTGTACATTGGTTTATCAGCTGCCTTGAATTGTTTATGAACTATTAACATAAATAAGTACCTACAAATAGATCGTCTTTGGTTCAAAGACACAACTTTGGCATTAAGACACAACTTTGTCATTCAAGTAGAATACCAATAAGTATTGTAACCTTACTCCAATTCCCAAATTTTCAACCAGGACCTTAAATTGTAAATTCCTTTTTCAAAGTATTGTTTCCTTTCACAGATATTTTTCAAAGTATTGTTTCCTTTCACAGATATTTTCCAGTGGCTGATTCTCCTTTACTCTTTATTTCTTACAAACCCACAACCCTACCTCCATCAAGCTGAAAAAAAGTAAAATAAAATAAATAAGCCATCAGTTCCAGCAGCTGTTACCAAGAGCCAGACACCATGGAGGGAGCCTGGCAGCCACCAAGAGCTGCCACAGTGTGTGTCCCACAAAGCGGCAGAACGATAAACTAAAATGGTGATAAATGTCTGATTTCCTTAGGACATTTTTTATGTTAAAAATAAAGGACTAAATGGTAGGTACCGTTTCATCACTTGGTATTTATTTCCTAAAAAAAAAGAATTTAATTCTTTACATTGTTGAGTTCCCACATTTACCTTAAATTATTTTTTTGCAAGTCCAAATAAATAGACACTTCAGCATACTCAAATGATACCTTTTAAATTGTCTGTGAACTGCTTAGTAAAATCACGTTGTAGTCTTAACAGAAATACATTCATTTTAAAAATTATCATTAAAAGACCAAAAAGGACAGATAATTTCATCAAAATCAAAACTGAGGCTTCTACTCTTTTGTCATATTTTGAAAAGGCCTGACACCCTGTCAACGGGAGCCTGACAGCAAACGTCAGCATTACAGCTGTGTGGGCGGGATGCGCACAGGTCTCTAGGGGCATGAGTCGCATCAGGAGGGGGCTCTTTGTAGTCAATAAGTCTTTTAAAATCAGAAAAAAACAAAGATGTAATTGAAATCTTACAAATTTGAAATAGCAATGGTCATAACATGTTAATGTACACGAGTCTTACCTAATACAACAAGGAACACTTTTTCATCTTAAGAAACTAAAATGTCATTCTTCAGTTAAAAATTACTGGTAATATATAGACATCAAAAAATAAAACTTAGGAAACCTCACTTGGTACCTCAATGAGATTCCTCTCCAGAGAAGGCTCAAAAAGTGACATAATTACTGAATGGTAATTAGGCTTACAAAGCAAAGTCTGCAACTCTCTCATTTTAAAACTGAGGATACTGAAGGCCATAGAGGTTAACAAGCTTGTCCAAGCCCCTTGGCTAATTAGTAGCTTTGGGGAAATTAGAACTTGGGTCTCTTGACTGGAAAATAGTTCTTTTTCAACGTCACTGCATTATATCTTCTAATTAACAGTCTCTATTAAAATATTAGAAATTATTTTAAATTAAACAAAAATTTTGTTGAAACAGTTTCCAACTTGGGTGTTGCTGTGAATCTCTCTAGCATGTTATCTAATTAGTTCTTGTAAGATTCTGGTTGCTTCTGTGCTATCACATGGGCAGCCCGTCTCAAAAGGAAGATAAAACCTAACTATCTCCAAATCTAACTCCAAGTGCCACTTTTTAAGCAGGGAAAGAGATCTCATTAACAGATGTGTACACATACCACACAGAGACACGTCAATCCATATCTTAATGGAATGCACCTTAGTTAAGAATAAGTTTGAAATAATTCTTTGGAAACTTCATGATTTTTCCTGCAAAATTATGGCTATGAAATTATATGTAGTTCATACCTAATTAAAACTTTGTAGCCAAATTGAATAATATCTTTATATAACAGTATGATAAAGTTTATTGACTAATCAAGAGATAATTAAGGAAAAAAAGTTGATTTTGTTCACAGTTAACGAGTTTTCTATTCACAACATAGATGATGCAGTTTTTTAAACTTTTAGATTAAGAACTTACATATATACTTCCTCATAAAATGGTAAAATACTTTAAATAAATGACTTATTTCAATTACATAAGTCAATCATTTACTATTTTATACAATAACAATCATAATATAGTAAATCAAATTTAATAATTTAAATCACCACAAAACTCCCTGAAAAGATGGCCCTGAATTCCTTTGGTGTGTAACAGAGGAAGTCAGACAACCATTTCATGATGGATGCTCATTAAAAATTCCCAATTTCCTTAAATGCTAGCATGGGGATTTGGGGAGTAATTTGTAATTCTTCCCTTGATTTTACTAAAGAAAAATCAAAATAATTGCTTGATTTCACCAATAAATTAATGTTCCACTGAAAAGGAAATAGAATGAGAAGCACTGAGGACAACCACCCTGAGGTGCTGTAGCTGCGCCTGCTTTCGAATCCAGTTTTTTTTCCTGGGTCTGGTCACTGAGGGTTCATAGACTGGAATGACCTTAGTCCTAGCAAACTAATTTGTGAAAAAATTAGCTAAAAACTTAAAGTAATCTGTAAACTTTTCTAATGCATCAGAACTGAAAATTTCCCATTGAAAGAGACAACCACATCAATATCAGAGAAGAAAATGCTCTCTGGTAAAACAACCCTAAAGACTGATCTGTAAGTGACTGCCAGCCATGGGTAGATATGATATACTTTTGCTGGGATGTGTTTTTAGCAATAATTACCTAGCCCTCTTATTTTCGAGAGGTTTTTCACACCCAGAGTGTTATGGACCTGAAATCCTGGTATTTATGAGAATGACACAATCATTTACATCACTAAGCCTCACTAGTGTGATCTGCCCTGACTTGCACCTGCAGAGGTGAAAATACGGCTGCCCTGGGGCCGAGCTTGGGCTTTGGTTCCCAGGATGAGCTCTGTTCGGTGGTGGAATGTGGCAGCTGAGTTCCCACAGACAGGTCAGTAGGTCACATTTTAATTTACCATCCATGATTTACCATCCTGCAGCTACAGGAATGAGAAACTGAGGAAGAAGAAATGAGCCTTCTCCATAAAGCAGGGGAGGCCCTCGGTTGTCTGCGTGCTGAGCACTGTGTACACAGATGGGAAAATCAGTTTAAGTCTGGTCTTAATGTATGTCGTCCTGTGTATTATTGTCAGTTCTCCCCGTAAGGGAGTGAGACTGGCTTATGCTTTGACAACTGTACAAGGGACAGAACACTGAGCTCCCGGGACAGAAGAAAAAGGGGGTCTGACCAGGAACACCTACCCACAATTTCCATCCCATGGATGGGTCCCTATATCAGTCACTTCAGACAGGACATTGAGAAAAAATGCAGGCATTACCTTCTGTGTCTTGCATATTTGCCACTAACATGACCACTGCCGTCGCAGCCGGGCGTGGGACAGCTGGAACAGGAAAAAATTGATTACACGGGTGCCGTGTGCTGCAGACAGGTGAGACAGGTGAGTCGATGGGCATGGGAGAGAAACTGGGCAGCCCAGACAGAGAGGCAGGATTCACAGAACTGAGAAGAAGGAAGAGTGGGGGATGCTTTTATTAGCAAGTCTCAGGGGAATTAATTTCATCAGTGCAGCGGGGCGTGAACAAGCTGCCGATGAACTTGAAAGTACAGCATACCCATTAAAAGGCATGAATGTTCTAAATTGCTAATGGGGATATATTTCACCCTCAGAGCACTAACCTGAACAGCTCTTGTATGGCTGGTTCCACGGGAACTGCAGAAAGATGGAAAATATATAAAAATTTATCATCTATCGCAAGTACCCCTCTTCCACAGAAAACTCCCCAAAAGGTTGTGTAAAGGCGGGGGCCAGAGTGAAATCCCAAAGCGATTCTGCAGGGTGAAGGTGACCCTGAACCGGCCCCAGGGACGCAGGGAAGTGCAAACGTACCTCGAACTCCTTTGGAGCGTGTGCGATGGCGCTTCTCTTCTGTGTCCACCTCCATCTGGGGATAGATTAGCAGGTGGTCAATGTCCTTATCCTGCCTGTGCAGACTACCCGTGCACGGAGCTGCCCGCTGGCCCTGGCATTCTACTGACAGGGCTTTAATCCTGTTTCTCTCTGTGAAAGGAAGTCCTCTCCAAGGGCAGAGGTGGGTAAGACAAAGGTCAGGCAGTCTAAATGCACTATCCTAAAAATAATAAACAGACCTTGATCTTGTAGAAAATTTAATCAGGAGGCCTCTGTGCTCTAAAACAGGGTAGATTTTGATGAATCTTGAAGTGCCATTTATTTACTCTCTTTTCAACGATTTGATGGGACACACTTGGTGATTCTGAGTTGTGCTGTGTGCTAAGAATATAATAGCCATTGAGTTACAAGATGTTAAAAAATACATGTAATGTCTAGATTCTCCTTGCAACTGAAAGGTTTGATGTGATTAAGTAGTTAAGAGGAGGGGCGTAGATACAGCAGAAGGACATTTTCACCCTCTGGGACTCACGCTCAATGTCCTCTAATTCCTGGAATGCAGTGTGGTCCACATTCATGTGAATTGGGAGGTTGCTTTTTGTGTCCATAGACCCATGACTCATGGCACCTGACACGTCTTATTCTTGAGAAATTGCAGAGCGCTTTTGTGTATTACCTGGTAGGGTCCTTGCAGCAATCTTGTAAGGAAGATGTTTTTATTATATCTATTTCATACATGAGAAAATTAAAATTCAGGCCATGTGACTTGCCCAAGAATGTTTTGTTGTAGGGACCCAAAATCACAACTGTCTGTAAGTATCCCCTTTAAGCCACAGGAACTCACTGCCACTTGGTGAACATACACCCATGTATTTGCCCACCAAATATTTCCACAATGTGTGAATGCACTATATGCAGCAAACTGCAGAGCATGAGATTTCCACCTGGTATGACAGAGGAGCTGGTAAGACTGAGTGGTGGAAGCAGCAGCTCCTCTTGACCAGATCACAGAATATAACTTTTCAACCCCCACCCGGCATTTCTTTGCCCTGCCCAACACAGCCAGAGCTGCATTTCTGGGCAGAAGATGAGAACATATCATGTCATCTGTGCACAGTTCTCCACATCAGACACCATAGCCACTTCCTCCGTGGTTCATGAAAAGGAAGGTCAGGATGCAGTGAAGAAGATTTTAGTTCTTCTGATGCATATGGCTTTGTTAGGTGCACACTCTGGAAGACGACAGGGTAGATCTGCTATTAAACTGTCAGCAAGGCATGATTCTCAACAGGTATAATACCAAAGCCTCAAAACTCACAGTGACGGCTCCTGATTTAATGTTTATATCAATTACCTAGCAAACATTTATTTATTAAAACTGCATGCTGTGTATGGTATCAGGAAATATAAAAATACATATAATAAAAAAGCTCACTTAATAAGCTTAATATCATTTAATGGGAAAATCTATGTGAAGATGTGCTCAATTTAACATAAGAAGAATTTCAGGAAAGGAAGCAGATATCAAGGAAAGATTCCCAGAGGAAGTTGTGATACTTATGAATTATTGGTTTAGGCATGGAAGGAAGGAAAAGAGATTAGCTATGGCTTACATACAGATACTTGAAACAGCGAATGAATGAATGAATGAATGAATGAATGAATGAATGAATTTTCTGGGAAATATACAGGTCGAGGAGGTAGATGGGCAGGGCAAGGTACTGAGAAGACCAGCTGGACAGAGCAGACAGAAGAGCTAGCATTTGAAAGGGCCCTGGGGAGGCCGTGGGGGCTTTAGGACTGATCCGGTTGGGTGGACAGCTGTGGTCATTTCTTGAGCATGTAGGGATAAGTTACAAGCATATTTTAGAGGGAAAAAGTAGTTTAGTAGCAGTTTGAGAGAGATCAGGGCGGGGATTTGGAACAGAAGATGAAGAACCAGCCAAGAGGGGATGGGCATCTGTCTGAGAAGGAGGGGCCAGGGCAGAAGCCTCCAGTACAGACAATCCTTTTCATCTCGTTCCTGGAGGGCGACTGTCCAGGGAAGAAAGGAGTGAACTGAAGAAACTTTTTGGTGGAAGAATCAATGAGATACCGTGCCTTAGCGGGCATCTTTGAGGTATTCTGCCCTTCTCCTGCTACTGTTTCAGCATATGCATAGGGTAGTCAATCTCCGAATGTAGTCACACTATGTGGATTTGTGGTTTAAGTAAATACCTCTAAAATTGCTATTCAACATGGAAGATTTTCAGAACACTGCAAAATTTTCGCACAGCAATACGGGATCAGTATGGCACAAGACGCAGGGCATGCTGGAATCAGTAGTCCTGCAACGACGGAGAAAGTGCTGTGCATTCCATGTTGTGAAAGGGAGAGTGGGCTTCCTGAGCTCCTGCACACTTGTCATAGGACTGGGGGTGCAGAGATAAGGGGATACAGTCCTGTTCTTTAAGGAATTCAAAGTTGAACTAAAGCTTTTTGTGGAGGAAGGTAAGTTGGGAAATTTTCTCAGTGAGGTATAATGGAAGCTTGGAAGGGCACATCTCATCCTGAGGAAGGAGGAGGAAAGGTTTCCTTGGGCATTGAAATTTCAGCTGAGTTTTAAAGGCTAATTGGATGATTCAGGTTAAAAACGGGTAAGAGGGGTCTGTTCTTGGCAGAGACCCGTAGGTGTGAAGGTGCTGGGGGAAGTTACGGGGGAGCCCAGGGCTGGGTTGGGGCTCTGGGGGCACACGACAGGGTTTGCTGGCAGCCTCCTTCAAAAGCGCAGTGTGTACCAACATTTTCTAATAGGAACTGTGGCCAGGCACACCCAGCCATCACCTCGCTCGCTTACGCTTGCCCAGAGTCTGAAGAATAAACCCCCCGGCTGTGTGCAGCGACGTGAGCTTTCCTTTGTGGCCGTGAAGTCGAGACACGCGGCCTCATTAGCTAGCTGGTCATATTGTCGGGGAAGAACTGGTTTATTTTTTATATTTAAATTCCTAGTTCTTTCAGGTTTTTTTGTTTTGTTTTGTTTTGGCTTTTGTATGTTTTTGCATGTAGAAGGACCACCTCATTTTTTTTTAGTCTAATACCTAATTCCCCCACTAATTACTTATTAAATAAATCATAAATCATACTTTCCCCACCACATCACAATATCCCTCTTGCTATATGTTCAGTTCCTACCATCATTGGGTCTATTTTTGGACTCTGTTCTGCTCCACTCTGTTTATTCTAGTGCGAATCCTGTTTGAATTACAGTCGATTTGCTCCACTCTGCTTATTCTAGTGCGAATCCTGTTTGGTTACAGTGGATTTCTGTGATGTGTTTTACTCTCTCATCAACAAGCCTCCCTTACTGTGAGGATTGTACGAGATAATTTATAAAAACTGTCTAGCATAGAACTCAGCATATACTAGACACTAAATAAATGGCGGTTGCCTTCTCTTTTTCTTTCAGCTAGCCAAACCAAAACCTGAAGGGTTTCAAAACTGTTTTAAATTTTACTTTTACATGGCTGTTTTAATAAATGCAAACTGCCAGTGAGGTTCAGATTAAGCAGAAAGCGGGACATTCTTGGTCCAAAATGCCAGGAGGGTTTTCAATTTCTCATGCTTATATTCAAAAGTNAGCGCAGTGTGTACCAACATTTTCTAATAGGAACTGTGGCCAGGCACACCCAGCCATCACCTCGCTCGCTTACGCTTGCCCAGAGTCTGAAGAATAAACCCCCCGGCTGTGTGCAGCGACGTGAGCTTTCCTTTGTGGCCGTGAAGTCGAGACACGCGGCCTCATTAGCTAGCTGGTCATATTGTCGGGGAAGAACTGGTTTATTTTTTATATTTAAATTCCTAGTTCTTTCAGGTTTTTTTGTTTTGTTTTGTTTTGGCTTTTGTATGTTTTTGCATGTAGAAGGACCACCTCATTTTTTTTTAGTCTAATACCTAATTCCCCCACTAATTACTTATTAAATAAATCATAAATCATACTTTCCCCACCACATCACAATATCCCTCTTGCTATATGTTCAGTTCCTACCATCATTGGGTCTATTTTTGGACTCTGTTTTGCTCCACTCTGCTTATTCTAGTGCGAATCCTGTTTGGTTACAGTGGATTTCTGTGATGTGTTTTACTCTCTCATCAACAAGCCTCCCTTACTGTGAGGATTGTACGAGATAATTTATAAAAACTGTCTAGCATAGAACTCAGCATATACTAGACACTAAATAAATGGCGGTTGCCTTCTCTTTTTCTTTCAGCTAGCCAAACCAAAACCTGAAGGGTTTCAAAACTGTTTTAAATTTTACTTTTACATGGCTGTTTTAATAAATGCAAACTGCCAGTGAGGTTCAGATTAAGCAGAAAGCGGGACATTCTTGGTCCAAAATGCCAGGAGGGTTTTCAATTTCTCATGCTTATATTCAAAAGTGTGTGGTCAAAGGTAAGCTAACACCTACAGTTTGTTCACATAAGAGTTTCCCGAGGAATCCTTCCCCTCTCTCTCCCCTCTGCTGTTTTGAAAAGAAAGCTTGTTTCCACCTGCAGCTTTTCCACTGGCTGGCAACTGGCAGCTGCTGTTAGCAGCACCTGGTGAACTCTATATTTGAATCCATTCTTCTGGTGGTTTGAAGGTCTGAGTGGCAGGAGCTTTACTTAGTGATGCCACCAATGGTTCAATGGCATTTTTCTAATATGTCATTCCTGCTCTTCCGTGGAATGGGAGAGAGTCAACCCCAGTTATCTTTGCCTGGGTTTCTGATGACCTCTCCATTAATTTACACTTAGAAAAATGGCTCTCAAAGTGCTACTTTAGTGTTGATT